AGTTGTTGGATCCAGAAGGGACGACTACTCACCGCCCGCGCCCACCGCCCGCACTCCACCATGTTTGTGGACTGGATGATGGCCGTTCTGCGCTTCGCCGCCGTAGCAAGTGAGTACTATGTCTGCTTTGGTCCTAGCAGAGGACGGCCGTTATTGTCAAACGCAACAATAGGCGGTTTGTTTCCAGTCCTGTCCTCTGTGCTAGCCGTGCTTGCAGCATTGCGGCCGCGTCCCCCCTGTCCCTGTGCTCGTTCCCTATGGTCGTTCCCTGTGGTCGTTCTCTGTGGCCGTTCCCTCCCCGTGGTCGTTCCCTGTGGCCGTTCCCTGTGGTCGTTCCCCGTGGTCGTTCCCTGTGGCCGTTGCCTCTAAACGTGCCGGTGCGGGCGGCGTGCGAGCTATGCATTAATGAAGTAGTACAGCAGGCCCACACTACTGCTGCCCCTGATCCCGATTCACGGCACCCCCTCCCCCCTGCTGTCGATCTTTGCTCATCACACACCACCCACCACCTAAAAGTGTATCCCCCATTGCAGAACCTACAAACACGTTTCCCTTTCGCCTGTGGTCAACAACTACTTGCAATGTAATAATTGATCTTTGTAACAACACCCATAAAAAAGCCCATTAAAACGTCTTATCGCACATATACGAGGAGATTGGCCTGCCAAGTGGAATGTCCTTTAACCGGCAGCTGCAAGGAAAAGTGAGGCCGTCACAGGACGTGGCGATCTCTTATCGTAATACGACGATTAAAAAGTTTAATTTCTTAAGTCGCCGCTCTCATAGAGATGCGTCTCGGCCAAGCGGCTAGAACAGTCACGACGACGGCCGTCGAGGGCGGACTTTTATCCTGGCCGCTTCGAGCCGCCCGCCGCTCGCCGCCACACCACTGCAGGGCAGAGTGCACTATACCGCCTCGCCGTCAGAGATACACGGGAAATGCGTTTAATTAAACAAGGTGGCCTGGTCCCGGGCGCGCGCGTGTTGGAGTGGATTAGCTGCCCCTCTCCCTCCCTCCACGTCACTGGTGGTGGTGGACTGGAAGGGTGCGAGGGAGAGAGAGAGAGAGAGAGAGAGAGAGAGAGAGAGAGAGAGAGAGTGGTAGGGGGGTAGAAAGAAACCCAGCCTTTTCCTGCGCTCCTCCCCGGCTAAAAGAGGGGCGTTATTCTGATTGATTACTTCCAAAACGAATCTCTCTCGCTCTCTTTCTCCTCTCGTTCCATCCCCCCCTTTTTTTTGGTCTGCATTATTTTCTCATCGGCGAACGCGGGCTAAAAGCGGGACTCGTCGAGGAAATAATATAATATACCGAGCTAGTCTGTTTGTTGGTGTTCGGTCACACCGCGCGACGGCCTGCGGCGGGCTCGGGGCCGGGCCGGGGTCAGGGGTCGGGCAGGGCGCGTAATAGTGCGTGTCCCTGACCTCTCGCACTCGCCGCAGGCCGCCGTGGGCCTCCGCCGCAGGCCGCTGCTGTGCGCAGCCCGAATGGGAGCCTCCTCCACTCGCCCGCGGGACGAGCAGAACGGCCCGAATAAATGTAATTTTTCCACACGAGAGCGTATGATGAGGCTGGGCTGGGCCAGGAGGGGGGCCGGTTGCGGCTGCCGACGTGTGTTGTACCTTTCAAACCGAAAGTAGACGCTTTAAGCGCGCGCTTCACTTTTTGAGGTTCTCTACCGACCGCTCCGGCCATCGTAAAATTTAGGCATGTGGTTAGGCTTGCCTCTCTATTGTTCCTTTGTACCATACCCTATATATTATGCTGCTGGCGGCTTGGTATGGACAACCTGGACGAGAATACCTCTGCGCTGGTGGAGTACTAGTTCGGGTAGATGCGCGTAGCAGGTGTCCGATTGAGCGGCGCTGTTGTAGTTGTACGGAGTTATACTGTACAGCATGCACGCGTGTGGGTGGAGGTGGGTTGCCCGTCAGATCGGGGCCGTAAAGGCGCCGTGGTAATCGACGATAGGCAAACCCACTAGCAAGACGCCTGCATGCGGTCAAAGGCAACAACGGTGCGCGGGGTTAATCAGGTAACATGTGTAGTACATCGGATCGGAAAACGAGAAGAGAGCTGCTCCTGAATTTCGTGGGCCCCATCATCTGATAATGTCTTTCGGAAATAATAAGAAACAGCGGCTCTCTGGCGGGTGGACTGGTGGGGGGTTGGTGGGCACTGGGCGGTCACTCACACCGCACGACGACGCCCCGCGCGGCCCCGGCCACCACCACCACGCTGTGCCCACGTGGCCCCCTTGCGTAACCAAAATCATCCATCTATCGCACATTTATAGCGATAGCCGCCTGTACAGTATCGAAGTAAGAAACCAAGAGTATCGCATGGTGATGTTTTCGGCGCCAAACCGGTGGGCGGCCGCGGCGGCCGCGCCCCTTGGCGCTGGCTAAGCCTGGGCACAGAGCAGGGCTGAGGAAAAACGCGCGCCCGAGGCAGCGGCTGCGGCATCAGCCTAAGGGATTAGCACGCGAGTGATCACGGAGCTGGTCTCGCGGGAGCGTGCTGGTGTTGATGTGAGTTCACCACCACTACGAGGAGTGAGTCCGCGGGCGGGGAGTCCCCTGCCGCCGGCCGCCGGGCCGGGTCGGGTCGAGCGGGTCGAGCAGTACGGACTGCATGAGGCGCGGGCCGCCGTCGTCGAGTCATCAGCGGCAGCGGCAGGCGCGCCGGCGCTGATTGCCATGTTGTTGTGGTGCCGTAGCCCCTCCCGCTCCTCACACCCAGAAAAACTAAAACTTCCAGCAGCCATCTTATGGTAGACCAGGGAGAACCATGAAAATATGGTTCTCCCTGGTCTACCATAAGATGGCTGCTGAGCGCGCGAGTGTTGGGATGTGATGTGATATTCGCACTTTTCTCCAGGATAGATGTGAGCCTCCCCCCCCCCCCTCTTTACCTGCAATCCGCTGCGCGGCAGGCGTGATGTCGAACACAACCAGGGAGAGTAGTTTGACGGAGACGTCGAGACGTCCTTTCAACCTGCCCCCTTCCACCACCATACCGTCACCACCACCACAACAGGTTGTCACTCGGGCCGGCAGCTCAACAACCAAACAGACCTGCTGCTAAATTCAAAAATCATTCTCGAGGGGTGGGGCCAAAGAAGTCTTATACAGGAGCATTTATGAGCGGGCCTGCTGCGGCCGGGGAAAGGGGCAGGGAGCCGAATCAGCTAAGGCGGGGAGGGAGGGAAGTCCACGCGGCCGCGGCGGCGGGGCCCCCGCTATCGCATGCAGCTGGAGGAACTTGGAGGGACGGCGGCCGTGCGACACTTTCGGGGCACCCCCGGGCTCTCTTTCTCTTCCTCTCTGTGCCGCTGTCCGCGCGGGGTTGTGACGTCGCAGCGTGGTCACGTGCGCCGGCCGCGCGACATTTGAGTGTGTTTCGCCTGCCGCTGATGATGTTCCCGCCCCCTCCTCCTCCTCCTCCTCCTCCTCCTCCTCCTCCTCCTCCTCCTCGCCCGCCGGCAGGATCGGCGCGGCCGCGTACTGATATACAGGCCAGCGTGGGCCGGCAGGACCTCAGTGGCTGGGTCGCGCGCGAGCCGTGCGAGTGCCGTTGTACGTGTGTGCGTACGTGTGAGAGTTTGAGAGAGGCTGGGGAGATGACGGCTGGCGCCCGCTTCAGCTGGTCCAGCAGCGCCCAGAGGATGACGCTGCCGACGGCCTTCGTGTTCCTCGCGGTCGCGGCGTGCGGCGGCGGAGGGCGCGCGCAGGAGGAGACCGCCAACGCGTCGGGTAAGGTCCAGAGCAGCAGGGCGACGACGAGGGGGGGTTCCTTTCGGGCCGCAAAGAGTGTCCTTCCTGGTGTCCAGGACGTACATGATCGTGAACGGCCTTCGAGTTTCGAGCTCTCCGTCGTGTGTTGTAGTGGTGGACGCGACCAACCGAGCCAAGGGGTGCGGGTGAGGGTTCGACGCAAAAGCGAGTCAAAGAGAGCGAGAGCAGAAAGCGCGGCGAGAACCCCGTTTTATTTTACTTTTATTTGGCGCAGCAGCGTCGGTACTGGTGAGGACGGACGGCGGCCAGAGCAGCAGCGTCAAAATTGTTTCCGGGCGCCCAGTTCTGCACTGACGTGTGAGGGCGTTGGCGTTGGCGCGGCGAGGCGTTGGCGTGGCGTGCGAACCGTTTGTCCTGCTGCTAACGCGGATGGGCAAGCGAAATCGCGCAGCAATCCAGCAGCCCCCGCGCTCGAGGGCCCTCGCCTCGAGCACCAACACGCCCCCTCCCCTCCGCCCCTCAAACCCACGCTCATGCCGCACCCACCCCCTTAACCCTCTCTGCACCCCACACGGCCACCCACGACGCGACACATTCCCACCGATCCAATCACGGAGACGCGTGTGGTGCGTTTTTTCCTCGCCGTCCCCCTCTCTTCTTTCAAATGTCACACCAAACGACAACGACGACGACGACCCTGCTGCTGCAACTGCTTGTTCTCTCCGGACATTTCAAACACCCCGCCGCGCTTTGTTTTTATTTTGTAATTTTTATGTAAAGAAAGCGCGCGCCGGACGAGTAAATCTCAGTCGAAATGAAACGTTGCCCACGCGGCAGATCCACGAACGGAGGTAACCGAGGAGCGGCTGTTTGTCCGGTGGTTCCCCCTTCCGCCCGTGTCTCCGCCGGGGGATATCCGGGATATATCAGAACCGGCCGGGATCCGGATCAGGAACGGGACTGGGATTTCGAGCAGCTGGCACACAGGATGGGGCCACGGGGACGCCCCCCCCCCCCAATAACCCCAACCCCCAACAGGAAGTGACGTTCACGCCGGCCTCAGACACCGATAAAGTTTATGCGAGGATAGGACCGGCGGCTGGTTCATCACGCTCTGCCAACAAAAATAGTAACAAAATTGATAACTAACTGTTGTTGTTGTTCATTTTCCAGGCGTGTGCCCGCGTATCGTGCCCCGCGACGAGTGGGGCGCCAGGCCGCCCAAGGCGGTGCTCGAGATGCACAACCCCGTGAGCACGGTGGTCATCCACCACACCTACTCGCCGAGCTACTGCGCCAGCGCCGCCGCCTGCGAGGAGGCCATGCGCAGCATGCAGACGTTCCACCAGAACGACAGGGGCTGGGACGACATTGGCTACAGGTGAGCGATGATAAGTAGTAGCACCACCCGAGCAGCTCAAGTGTCATACAGTATCACAGTTTAAGCGTTTAAGTCCTTGCAATGCATAGTCCGGTTAATGGACTGGGGCCACGACCTTTTTTTCTGGTCCAAAATTTTGACCCGACTTTTAAAACAACTTCGACTATAAGAAAATTCTTTCTGGCCATTATTTGGCTAGGTGCTCATCAGAGGCATATTACTGTCCGTCTTTGACGAATTGACGCTAAGGGGAGAGGGTCTCCTACCTGTCTGTGGAATGACCAGTGAAACCACATTGTGGTCACGTGTCACGGTCGACGTGTCAAGGAAGGGCGTTAAAAGGCTTCCCCCCTCCCCTTTCCTCTCTTTCTCTGACTCCACCGTCTCATGCAATGAATCATGGGTACGTAGGCCGTTAGTCGTGGCAGTGGTGGTTAGTCGGTGGACTCTGGCCATTTCCGCCTCCGCCACCCACATCCAGCTCGGACCGCTCCGCTCTGTTCCACCCCGCCCCCCAACCACCGCAAAGCTGAAAAAGTAAACTAGAGCTGAGCAGCAAAGAGAAAGAGAGAGGAAGAGAGAGTGCTGGCGGCTTGGTATGGACAACCTGGACGAGAATACCTCTGCGCTGTGTGCAGTACTAGTTCGGGTAGATGCGCGTAGCAGGTGTCCGATTGAGCGGCGCTGTTGTAGTTGTACGGAGTTATACTGTACAGCATGCACGCGTGTGGGTGGAGGTGGGTTGCCCGTCAGA